AAGCACTCACAGAGAATCCACCGGGAAATAGAAAAGAAACAGGACGTTCTGTTCCAGTGAGTCAGCAGGCCCCTGACTTTCTGGACTGTTCTCAAGCCCCTCCCCACCACCTCACCAGGCCCCCAGGCCTCTCCGCCCTCCACTTCCCACCCCAGCTCACAGGCACAGGCTGCAGGCCTCAGAACAAGATTTCCTTCCTCCCTGTGGAATTCTGCCAGCTATTCCTGGAGTATATGGGAACATGCTTCCCGGCTTTGGCAAAAAGGAGTCTCTGTTATCTGTCCCATTTTAGGGAAAAGGAAACTGAGACCCGGAGGAAGCAAGCACTCTCCAAGGCCACCCAGTACCACATCCTCCAGTTTAAAGAACCCACCCCTCTCTCCCAACCCCATTGCCACACACAGGCACCAGGAAGGCAGACTGGCTGGAGACTCAAGGTTTGGATAAGAAACCCTGACCCAGTTACCAAGGAAACATTGAATTCAACACAACCCACACAGTGGGACTTCGGCAGGTCCCAGAGCCCAGTCTGCCCTGAAGTTGGGCTGGAATGAGCACCGGAGGTAGAGCCCTGGGGCCAGCTTGGGTGGCCTCACCCCTCCTAGCTCTGAGCCCCTGGACTGTGTCACAGAGCCCCACTGGTACACTAGACAGGGCTGCGCACAGCCCTAAATTCTCCCTCAGAACTCAGGGCCCATGCCCCTCTCACCTACTGTCCGCAGGGCACTGCAGAGCCCGCCCAGTTTCCCCCACAGCACAGACAGCCCTCAAGCCCCAGGCAGAAGCCACCGCCAGGCACTCACTTCCCATCAGAGAGGGAGGTCCCAGGGCAATGCGAACTCAGGCCTGACTGCTCCCACCCTCTCAGTGAGTTGCAATCAAGAGCCTCTTTACAAAGTTTCTTGGTGGTTTTTATTTTTATTTTGTATTAAGACACCAGTGAGTTAACTGTGCAGCCTCATACTGCCTTCTCCAAATGAAAGGGCATTGCTAGGGCCCCTCCCAGCTACCCCCTACTCCGCTACCCCCAAGCCTGAGGATGTCAGAAGAGGAGCACTGCAGAGAGAGCACAGTACATCCTCCTCGCATCAGCGTGCATCAGCACACTTCCGGTGCCCACTGGGAGTTACAGTCACAAGGGGGCACCCATGCCCCAAAGATCACCCCTGCTCTCACCCCCCTCGCCATGCAGTATGCACAAGCAGGGCCACCCCAGGTGTTCCTCTGTCCTCTGCCTCTGTGGCTCACCGGGGCACCATATACAAATAAAGCCCGAGCAGGACCCAGGCACAGTCCCCGGTGTTCAGCACACAGAGGTGTCCTTCTGCGCGGGAACATGGGGTCCACTCATTCTAGAGACCGTAGGGCAGGCAGTGGCTGCAATCCACAGGCATCAGTGGTGGCCTCGGTGGGGGTGGAGGCGGGCCTGGTGCAGGCGGTGGTGGTGGAGGTGCTGGTGGTGCAGTCCTGCGTGGCGCGTGTGAGACACATGGCCAGGATGGTGGGGATGATGGAAGTGCCCCAGGCGGGCCCGGCCGGGGAAGAACCAAGGCTGGGCTCGCCGAACCCGTTTTCTCCTTACAGCCGGACGGTTCCTCTCCACATCGTGGTCCTGCTCTCCTCCATGCAGGCAGGTGACCAGCAGCAGCAGCAGCAGCAGAACGGCCACAGCAGTGCCTGCGATCAAGCCCACGAGAGTCGTGCTCCCCAGGAGGCCCAGCATCTGGGAGCTGGATGGGCCCCTCTGCTCAGTGGCTCCTGCTGCTTCCTCCCCTGCGGTGGCCTCTGCTCAGCCCTCACAGTCACTGGACTTTGTTGTCTCAGTTCCTGCAGGCTGGACAGCAGCCAGGGAATGTGGACACAGCCTCTTTGGGCTGGAGCTGCAGGCCAAGGGTGAGGCCAGACAACTGTTAACTCTGGGAAGGCCTGAGGGGAGGCTGGGTGGGGACAGCAGCTAAGGGAAGAGCCCTGAGTCTGGAGATAAGAGCTGTAGGCCACGCACACCCCTGCTGCCTGGCTGAGTGACCAGGCCAGCCCCACCCCCTCCCTGGGCCTCAGCTCCCTCCTCTTTTAGCGACAGTAAAGCACAGTGATTAAGAGCATGAGCTCTGGAACCACACGACTCACCAGCTCTGTGACTATGCACAGGTTACCTAACCTCTCTGTGCCTCAGTTCCTTCATCTGTAAAATGGCTAATAAGAGGATCTTCCCTCGTAGGGTTTTCTGAGGATTCAGGAGTTAAGATTTATAAAGCACTTAAACCACTTACTGGCATGTTTGCCATCAATATGACTGCAGTGGAGTCTAAACTACGCGACTTGGGAGACGTTGTCACCTGAGAGTCTGTGGCCCCCTGTCCTGCAGGCCACAGAGTCCTCCGGGCCTGAGCCAGAGCTCCTGAAGCACAAGACAGTTCAGTCCCACGCTCCAGGAGCTGTGTGAGGCGCCGCAGGCAGACTTTCATCACTTGGGGGGTGAACAACTAACTGCCTCTGCATCCTCAGTCCTGCCGGGCCGGAGCCAAGAGGTCTGGTGTTAGCCCGTGACTGCGGGAGGCAGGAGGCAGGAAAGAGGCTGCCAAGCTCAGCGGGGCCAGGCCCAGCCCCAGCCTCCTGGGTTCCAGTTCAACAGCCTCGATGCGCCATAAGCGGCAGGCTCCTTGTCCCCATCTCACCCTCCCTGCCTAGCAGCCTGGTCTTGCCATCCCTGCGGGTGGAGAATTTACAAAGGCAGGACCTGAGCAGTTGC